GGGAGGGGGAGCACGACAACAACTCTGCAGAAAGATCTAACTCAAATTGCATGCATAAAGAATAAAATAAGGACTAACCTTGCATTATTTGCGCTCTTCACCAGAAATTGCCTTAATGTGCAAAGAACAATTCGATCCTGCACCCTTCTAACCAACCACTCCAAAAAACATCTATCTTCAAGAACTGTCACAGAATAGGCCTGTCTGGAAGCAGTGGCACTGTGTGAGTTTTCATAGTAGCAAGATTAATATTGAATAAACCACAGATAGATCAGGCTCTAACTTAAAAGAGCTTTTGGTCCATCTACCTTTCAGGAATTGGAACTTCTCATTCAGTCTTTACTTAGGCCAAGATAAAACTCTTCATATCTAGAGAGCTTCGTAACTTATACTTCTAAAATACTTTTTGCGACAGAGGACATGTAACTTAAAGATTTATTGTTAAACATATGAGTGCAAATTAACCAAAACTTGGACAATGATGTCAGACTATTCTAATCCATTGAAAGAAAGAGCTAGCCACTAGCCAAAACAATGCCAATGAGCATCTTGCCCTAAACATATATCACCTAAAATATCTATTGTATGGAACTCATTGAGCATGCACACTTTAACATAGTGAAACTTGCAAAATCTATCTGTACTCGTGCTGAGCTGCTGAGTTCATAGTTGCAGCGAACAGGAAATAACCCTCAAAAGTTACATGGGGCCTCACGTACATATTCCAAGATCATGTTACAAATTACTTCCAAAATAAAAAGAGAATATGAATTACTCTGCAAAAATCGACTAAAACTTCGCATCAAATTTTACTTTAAATACTTTTATGCTCAGGCATCAAACAAATGAATACTTCAGTGCTTTTATATAAATTTACACATGCCAAAAAAGACCAATACAGTGTAAGAGAAATATGAAAAGGAAACACACCTGAAGGATGTCGCAGCATCAGTTATTTCACTTATATATACATCATTTGGGAAAATCTGACGAGCATCACCAAAAAGTAGATTAAGGTTACAAAAGATCAGAAATGACAGCTTTATATCTTAATGACCATTAAAAACTACATAAACGGTCAGTTCAACAAAGAAAGAAAATCAAAGCAGCTTGCAGGTAAAGCAATGAGACAGTCGGTTAAGCACTCAAATATACTGGATAACACGAAATGATAGATTTTTCAATTTCTGCATATCGCTTGTTGTATCTCATCTAACATACTCTTCGTGAGCACAAAATCAATTGTCTTAGCCTAATTTGTTTCAATACTTCAACACCAGCCATATTTAGTCTTTGACTGTTTGCTACAGAATATCCGTTGCTAATGTATCAAAAAGCGGTCACGTATTTTAATTTGTGGCAGATATTTGAGCTAACGTCCTGTCATGAGAGGTTAAGTGTAGCTTAGATTTTTTTTTCTGTGACATGCTAGCATTTCATGCTTATAAAGTTATGCCACTATGTACTCTTTTGAAATATCATCTCGTCAGTAGAAAGAAAATTGAGTTATTCGTAATTTTTATGTCACAAACAGCTGATAAACTATACCTCGGCATGTTTTAGCTCCTTGGTTCCGTCCATCAGTTCAATTAACAACTCATGATTCTTCTCTGGTGTTTCAACAACATCAACTATATTTTGGTTATGCAACAAGCTTTCTAAGTTTGGGATAGAAGTTCTCAAAGATAATCTGATGCAGTTCCCCTCAAATTCAACTATCTTAAGACCAGAACATGCATCTTCAAACTCCTCCATAGCCTCAAGCCTGATTATATTGTAAAATTAAATGCACCAAAATTAGATAAGAGAGAGCACAGAGAACTATGCAAAGTCTATTTTGGAAAATACCTGTTGAGCGTACTCTCGAGATCTTGCAATGACTTCAAATTCATTTCGCTCTCCTCAAGCTGAATGCCTAATTCTAAGATCTACATATAAAAGGAGTAAAACGATGAGCAAAAGGGATATCCTTCAGTTTTCTTTTACAGAAATAACGGAGCAACAACAAATATGCTTTGGCAGTTCGCCAGTAGAAAGGTTGTTATACAATGTGATAACTGAGACCACCAATAGATTAAGAAATTATGGCGAAATACATAAACCACCCCTTCAAGTTGTCCTCAACGATCATCCAGACACCTCAATTGGCCCTTTTATCGTTTAAACACTTCAAGTGGCTATTAACTGTATCAAATAGACACCCGAATGCAGCAGACCAGATGCGTGAGTTACACTTGCCAATGACGTGTCAAATGAACCAATTAAACAATGACACGTGTAATTTGTAATTAAAAAAATTGATATTTGTTATTAACAAAGAAATACATTAAAGGAAAAAAAAAACCTTTTTAAATTTTAAGCACACCAGCACCTTTCCCCACGCTCAAACCTATTCTTCTTCTTCTTCCTTCCGCCCATCTCCCTCTCACCTCCTATCTCTCTCTCATCCCTGATTTAATAGAGCCAATGCCATTGTAGGACAGAAAATATTCCAATAATTAAGGATTTATATATTTAATAAAGCAACAGCCACAAAGAAAAGAAAATGGGTTGGCAAATCCAACTTGATTTCTGTTCTGCCTCACTTCTTCTCTTTTCTCCTCTGTTTTTAGGGATAATCAGTAACTTAAAAATCCAAAGGCTAAAAGAGTGGCACCAAATCAAATAGTCTTGAAGCTTATCATCCATGGATGAACCTTGATGGTCCATGGCTGAAATCGACGGCTGAAATGGGCGGCTGGACCTTTAGAGATTATCCATGGCTGAACTTGATGCGAGCTTCTGTTTTTTTTTATAGTTTTTTTGCGTCCAGGTTGAAATATAGGTGGTGAATTTATGGTGGAAGGTGGCGGTTTAAGGTGGTGGAGATAATGATGTTGGGGTGAGGAAGGTTCATATGAAATTTGGGTTAAAAAAACACTGGTTTGATCGTTCAAAGGCGTGGGCAAAAATGATAATGTGGTGTGGGACCCAGGTATAAAATTTAACTTAATTCTAAAAATAAGAGAAAACAAGTCTAATAAAAGCCTCACGCGCTCAACTGTAACTAAAATGCACGTAACTTGCCATGTCATCATGAGGTGTTTACTTGATACAGTTAATAGCTACTTGAAGTGTTTAAATGATAAAAGGGTCAATTGAGGTGTCTGGATGATCGTTGAGGACAACTTGAAGGGGCGGTTTATGTATTTCGCCAAAAATTATTGATGCATCAGCAACTTCTTTTTTTTTTATACAAGTAATATTAATGTATCAGCAACTGACAGCAAGATAACTGATTTTTCTCAATAAGAACGTGCTCAAATTGTAAGGCCGAAACTGCATTTAGATAATGATATCTAGCTAATCTAAGTTGTCTTGAAATACTGAAAAGATGTAAGAACCTTAAAGTTATATTCCACAGATGTATTTGACAAGTTTCCATTATCTTCTCCAGTTGTCGAACAAGCAAAATTTGCCAGTACTCTTCCTTGTTCAAGTCCCTAATATATAAAACATAAAATACAATAAGTCTAACAATAACGAGCATTTGAGCAGGGTTAGGAGAACTAAGAAACAGAGGAAGCATGATAAAATTGACACATTAGACTTGACAAGTAAAAGAAAAGAAGATAGAAAAAGGGCAAGAAATTGTTCACCAAGCAAGAAAAACTCAACTTCTGATAAAAGTGAAACTTTCTCTAGGAAGTTTGATCAAAATTAACTGCTTCAGCAGTATAGCAAAAGTATCCATGCTAATCTTCCACTTAAAAGATTCCATAATTGACAACTTACCATTTCAAATGGAAAGAGCACACAGTAGAATTATGTAATGATTGCAACTGGAAAGAAGTGAGACACCATAAAGCTAATGAATTGTCCCTTCCAGACCCCATAAAGAAGATGCAAGTTCCAATTATGCAATTCATTAGCTGTTGGTCAAATTTTAAGTTTCTTGCCACAATATTCTTCACATAGAACTTGAAACTGCAGAGGCGACTCACTACCAAATAGAAGGCAAACACAAACTTTCTTTTTCACTCATTTTCTTAAGAACATAAACACAACGTTTGAACTTACTTCCACCTAAAATAAGAGATATTAAACAAAAATCAATGGGCAGGAAAAGCTAAAAATTTAGAAGTCCCTCCTTCTTAACGTTTGTTCCATTTTACATTCATCACTGTTAATCATGCCGAGAAAATTGATCACAAAGCATAAAACAGGCTATCTTCCACAACACCTCCCTGTGTTTTCAGACTTCTCCCATTATTCATAGAATTTATAGGAAGCTAGTGAGGAAAATAATTTATTCATCTGTTGGTATTAGGTTTTTATGACTACCTGTTGTTTCTTTCATTTCGATCATCTTACTATCTTTTTGTTATATATACTGCTTTTACATAGCTTTTCGGTGTTGTCCCTTCTTGCTTTTCTTTTCATTAATGCAGTGCTTATGCTTTCTTGATAAGGGTCTATTGGAAAGAGTCTCTCTATCTCCATCTCTACAAGGCAGGGGTAAGGTCTGCGTATACACTACCCTTCTTCCAAGACACCACTATGAGATTATACTGGGTATGTTGTTGTTGTAAGCATCACCAAACTTCTACATGTCTTTTCTTATCAATGAAACAACCAAATTTATCCACCATGTCACCAAATAAGAGCATGATGATCCTAGTTTGTATCTTCATGGAAGCAGCATCACGAAAACTCCGCGCTTATGTGCTCCTATAAATGGAAGATACGGTAAACATGCAACAGAAATGAAGTCCATTACCGCAAAACAAGCTTGAAAAGTTACCAAAAACTTATGCACTACCATAAATAATTGCAACTTCAATATAGAATAAGATCACACGGAAGAGTTAGAAATTAGCACAGTTGACATTCTTCCACCCACCTGCGGTTTATATGGTATTTCACCTTTAACACTTTAGTTCAGTAGCTACACGAACAAGACAGCCAGACACCATAAAACTATAGCATGTCCAGTTTCCTAAGGAACCAACAAGTAGACATGTCTACTAAACCTGCAAGCAATCCCCCTCAAGCGCTCCCTAATCAACAAACTCAGTTTATATATAAGCAGAATCAGGGGATGATAGTAACAAACCTGTGATTCTATGAGCTCCAAAGAACAACTTAGGCCTTCAATCCCGTTCACCAATTTGCTATAACCTACAGACAGAGTAAACATATCAAAATCAGAGCTAAAGCAATGTCTTATTAGTCCCACATAAATCTGAATTTTCCAAAACCACCAGGAATTCTCAGCACCTTCAACATATTCCCTTGAAAGCCCCTCAATTTCATCTGCTATTTTTGCATTCTTAGCCTCCTCTGTGCTTAGCTCATTCTTCAAATATTCCCAAAATTCATCTGAAGTTGCAAAAACGAGGTTTAAATGGAAGATAAAGCTCCCTCCAAAGATGTGTGTGTGTGTGTAAGTGTCTGTAATACATCGATACACACAGATACATGGAGCAAGAAAAAGATATAAACAGCTCTTCTTCTACCTATATCCTCATCAGACGAGAAGCTGATCTCTGAAGCATCATACAATATCTGTTCCACTTTGCTCTGCAAAATCATACACTGTGAACAAACACGACATTGACAGAAAAATATAGCGAACTTTTCAAGCTGTCAAAAGAAAACAAATCAAATTAAATAAGAAGAACCTCTCTTGGTCCCAATTTATTCATTCATTGTCTCTTATCGAGAGTCAATTTGATCATTTTCGGAGCTAACATGTTTGGTATGGTTAAAAATGTCTTGTTTTCTGAGATCATTTTTCGTTATTTGGTTATCTTAAATAGTGAACAATGTTTTTCTTCAATGAATTGGTATTTTCAGAATATACCAATTCAGAATGATTTTCAGTTATTATTACAAATACAAGGCCTGACAACTTATTGTATGAATTGGTATTTTTAGAATATACCGTGCATATGATCTGCTAATATTCGTTGCTACTTGGTTGCTTTATCTTCATTGTTCCTTGAGCCGAGGGTATCAGAATCAGCCTCTCTATCTCTATGAGGTAGGGGTAAGGTCTGCGTACACACTACCCTCCTCAGACCCCATTTATGGGATCAAACTGGGTTTTTTGTTGTTGTTTTCTTCAATGAAAATGATTTCCACATAAAAGTGGAAAATGGCTTCTTTAGCTTGTGACAAAAGTCATTTTCCTTTCCAAATATCCCAACTCTTACTCATGTTACTTGTTTCAATAACTCTTAGACATTGTTTTCAATCTTTAGTACTCAAAAATATATCCAACTAACACTGGAAAATAATACATAACATTTTCCTCAACGAAACGCTGAAAACAGTTAACTTATTTTCCTTCAAGCTATATACACTGACAGTGTAAAGGAGTTTTTAAACCAACAGTATAATTTAACCTATAGGTTAATCACCTTTTATGCTAGTTAAAAATCAATATTTGTTAATAGAATTACCTCCAGTGTCCTTTTAAGTGACTTGTATGAATATTTTTTACAGTGTCAGAACTTAAACTCTTTAGATATTAGTGCGTGCTTGGTATGGAGGAAAATATTTTCCAAAAAATATTTTCAAATTTTCTCATGTTTGATTGGTCAAAATATTTTTTGTAGGAAAATAACTTCCCTAGTGAGAGGAGGGAAAACAAGTTATATAAGTGGCATTCCACGTTGGTTGTCTTCTCCCCACCCCCCAACGCAACACCCTTCACCCTTGAACACCCAACCCCTCCTACTCCTGCCCTGCCCTTGCCCAACCCCAAACCCCGCCCCCCTCCCCCAACCCACCCCCGGACCCATGACCCCCCACCCTCGACCACACCCTAGACACCATAGTATTTGACTAAACTATATATAAATGATCTTGGCACAATATTGTCTTCTTACTTACCAAACAACAGAAAATAAGTAAGAAACCACTTTACACATTTTCTTCTTACCAAACACACCCTTAGAAACTACAATAACTGCACATTCTTATATCAAAATGATAAATGAGTATGCTCAATTAGTCAATTTAACCTGACCAACTTCTGGAGCTAAATCACACATATGTTAACGAAATACACTCATTTTTAACTAAATTTTGAATTTCTACAAACTATCCATAAAGCAGTAAAAAATAAAAAGAAAGTGCTACAATGTTCGAGAATCTTCCAAAAATCTCTTATTTTCTTTTACATTTACCTTAAATTGAAGTGTAGAATCTTCCAGTAATTTCTTCAGTTCTAAATCGCAGGACTCTGGATCTTCAATACAACTTCTTTGAATATCTCTAAGCTCTTGAATATTCCTATTATAACCATAATATTCAAAATTAAAAAAAAATAGAAATACGCACAGATAAGTTACTGCAGCTTGAAATTGAGAAAATAATAAGTAATAAACCTGCAAAGAGAATCAACATCATTGTGGCTTGTATTTTCCATTTTCTTGTCTCGAATTTGTAGCTGTCCCTGATTGTTTGCTCTCTCTTTTTTTCTGCTGTAATTCAAACTCCCGCCATTGTTATATTGTGGTTGTGTTGATACGGAGGAAGAGAGAAAATATGGATCAGTAAGTTAGGCCCATTTATAAGCCCACGACATTTGGGCCCAACATGCTCTCTATACAAAGAAGAAAATGTAAAAATTGCAAGGGCGCCCTATTTGGTCGGCCCCATTTAACATATACCTATTTTTTTTAAAAGTTTTAATCTGTACCCAGTTTTTAAACAATCTCAGCCCATTTCTCCTCCTCCTTCTCCTCCTTCGTTTTCTTCTTCTTCTATTAACAACTGAAAGGCACTATGATTAATTCTCTAATACTACCATCATTCTCAAGCAATGGCTTAAAGAAGAAGAACTCATCCTCAAAAGAATCGCTATAATTATGATTGTACAAGCTGCTCATAGTATGCTTGTTTTGTCAAATTTACAGGAAAACTTTTTCACCAGTAGTTAGTCACTGGAGTAAGAAGAATTGCTCCAGCCAATCTGTTACATATTACTCCAGTTTACATTGATCGTAAACGCTTCTTCTTTGCAGGGCAAATAAAGCTAATTTTAATATCACTACAATTTGTTCTAACTGAGAAGACTCTAAAATTAGACTACTTGTTTCTGCAACTGAAAGGGAATGATTGTGCTCGTCTTAGTATGTAACAATCAGCATGGTGCAACTAAGCAAGTTAACAACAATCAAAAACTTGAGCTCTAGAGCTGAAGTTCGCCAGTTACAGAACAAAAACTTCAGCTCTAGAGCTGAAGTTCGCCAGTAACAAAACAAAAACTTCAGCTCTAGAGCTAAAGTTCGTCAGTTACAAATAAAAACTTCAGCTCTAGAGCTGAAGTTCGCCAGTTACAAAATAAAAACTTCAGCTCTAGAGCTGAACTTCAGGCCCGGCTACTAGAATGCTGAAGTTTTGTGTGATTGCCTTTGTTACTCCAGCCCTGTATGCTGAAGTTATGCGAAAAAGCGGGTACGCTTTCAATTTTTTTTGCAAAGCGGGCACAAGTTAAAACGTGACACAAAAAGCGGGTAGATGCAAATGCCCCGAAGAAAAGGCAAGTTAAATATTTGGCCGGTCGCTCAAAGCTAATTACATTCGCTAGTCAAATATCCATAAAAAAATGTATAAGATATGTATATTATACGTTAATATACAAAACAAAAAATCCTATTATTTTTTGGAGCAATAATGTGTAGTTTTCCCATGAAGAAGTGACGTCAAGTAGCTTTTAGCACTACTATAGTAGTAATGTATTCCCTGCGGCCCACAATAAGTGATTTTTGGTTGTTTTCACACAGATTAAAAGATACCCTTTTTAACATTAATTAGCAATAAAATTGACCATATTAACCTTTACTATCTCTTCACATTAATACTCTTAACACGTACTCCAACACTATTTACTCCAATGTAGGAAAAAAATAGTTAATTCATTCTTGAAATCTGAAAAAATCAGATATTTTGGACCATAAAAAAATGTCAAAAATTACTTTTTATGAACCGGAGGAAGTAGTTTTTAAAAATTATTTAAGTTTAGTTAGTTTTGACGGACTTTATACCTGAGTTCTAAATGTAGAGCCTCCTTCATTTTAAAGTTTGAACATAATGAAAAGGACAAATTAAGAAGACATGTGGGACTAATTTGAAAGCATTGTGTCTTTGGTTGAGTAAAGAGTCATTAATAAACTTCTAGTTCAAACCTAATTTTGTTTTACGAAACCTCAATTAGCTTTCCTCAATTTGCGTGCACAGTACGGATATTTTTTGGAAAGCTTTTATGTTAAAATTGATTTAAAAAAATAATATTTTGCCTTAAAATTTTGAGTTGACTTCGGTCAATATTTTGAGCAAGCGGACCTGGATCCGTGTCTTGACGGCCCCGATAGGTCTGTATCGTGATTTGCGACTTGGGCGTATGCCCGAAATTGAATTCGGAGGTCCCTAGCTCGAGTTATCATATTTTGTTGAAAAATTAAAGTTTGAAGGCTTAATGAATCTAAAAGTTTGACCGATGTTTGACTTTATTGATACCGCGCCCGTATTTTGGTTATGGAATCCGGTATAGGTCTGATACTTTATTTATGACTTGTTTGTCAAATTTGGTGAGAAACAGATTTAGTTTGACGTGATTCGGACGTCCTGTTGTTAAAATAGCAATAAAATTTCATTTGATTTGGTGTCTGATTCATAGTTCTAGATATTATTTTGGCGATTTGATCGCGCAAGTAAGATCGTATGATATTTCTGGACTTGTGTGCATGTTTGGTTTGGAGCCTCGATGGCTGGGGTGAACTTTGGATAGGCTACGGAGTGGTTTGAACTTAGAAAACAATGCTGGTGTGCTTCTGTTCTGGTGCAGGTCTCTGACCTCACAATTGCGAGGTCATTGTTTGCAATTGTAAAGAATTCAATTCCTGCTTGGGTCGCAATTGCGGATAGGGGTGGGTCACCCTGAGATCGCATTTGCGATCAATTGGTCGCATTTGCGAGATGGCCGCTATTCGCAATTGCGAATAAATCATCGCAATTGCGATGATAGTAGAAATGCTGGGACTTTACATTTGTGAAGAAAACCTCACATTTGCGCAATTGCGACATCTGCAACTGGTCAAAAGCTGAGTTAGACGAGAATTTTCTCATTCTTTCAATTTTTCAAACCTAAAGAACCCTAGAGGCGATTTTCCCAAGAGCGCTTCTTCCCCATAATCGGTAAGTGATTCTAACCTATTTTCTTTCAATCTTCCTTTACATTTCATAAGATTTCAACCTAAAATCTAGTATTTTCATGGTGAAAATTGGGGGTTTGGGTAGAATTAGGAATTTTTGTAAAATTAGAATTTAGACCTCAAATTGAGGTCGGATTTCGAAACAAATTATATAACCGGACTTGAGGGTGAATGGGTAATCGGGTTTTGGTCCGAATTTCGGATTTGGACCAAGTGGGGCCGGGGAGCTGACTTTTGTTGACTTGTTTAATAATGACCTAAATTGAATCTTTTGCAATCGTAGATAGTTCCTAAGGCTTATTTTGAATTGTTTGGTTGGTAATTTCTTAGATTCTTTTGGTACGGATGCTTGTTTGAAAGTCAAAGCTGTGGTTGAGCTTTGAGTTGATCTTTGGAGCAAGGTAAGTATCGTGGTTAACCTTGACTTGAGGGATTATGACTTGTTTGCCTATTTGCTACTTGTTTAAATGTTGGGCGCATCGTATATGTGAGGTGACGAGTACTTATGTGTTGTTGTTGGGCTAAAGCATGCGGATGAGACTTGTTTCTTGTAATTTGATGCTTTCTTTGAGCATGATAACCATGCTTAGACTAGCTAATTACTAAATTGATCGTTCTTTCCGCATTTATGGACTATCTGTGATAATTGAGTATTGTTTCTGAAGTTGAGGTTGGTATTGTGGAACCACTTTTGACATAAGACTTGTTTTTTGTTCATTATATCTCCCTGATGTTATATGTTCATTGTTATATGGTAAGCGAGAATGTTAATGCACGAAGGGTGATGTTGTGTCGTATCCGAGTGTTAATGCACGAAGGCCGAGCCATGTTGTGAGAGTTAATGCACGAAGGGTGACGTCATGCCATATTTTGAGAATTAATGCACGAAGAGTTATGTTTTGCCGTATCTATTGATCTATGATGAAAGTGAGAGTAAAGACACGAAGGGTGATGTCGTGCCGTTATTATTATTTCATAGTGAGGTTGAGAGTAAAAGCATGAAGGGTGATGTCGTGCAGTTTTGCTCGTTATGTTTATCTGTTTTGCTGGTTAAGGGCTTATTGACCGTTCCTTGATATCATTCCCTACTGTACTTATCGTATCTTATACCCCTTTTTGCATGTCCCATCCCAACGGTACATGCTTAGCCTTTAATTGTTGTTATGTTGTACGTATATTGTTATCTGTACATGTTTATTTACATGGGTGTCCTGTCATAGCCTCGTCACTACCTCTTCGAGGTTAGGTTCGAAACTTACGGAATACATTGGGTTGGTTGTACTCATGCTACACTCTGCACTTCTCGTGTAGATTTTGGTACTGGTCCCAGTTGTCCGTGAGGCGTTTCAGCTCGGATTTGCTTTAGAAACTCGAGGTAGATCTGCTGGCGTCCGCAAATCTTGAAGTCTCCTTCCACTTTCCCCTTATTTATTGTTCTTATCATTCGAGACATTTGCACTTATTTCAAACTCCGTATGTAGAAACTCTAGAAGCTCGTGAATTGTGACTCCAGATCCGAGTTTGTGATGACCTGACCCGTCGTCTCATGAGTTACCGCTACGTTTCCCCCATTTTCAGCTTCTTTATGCTTAATTATCAGTATTTGGTGTGGTCGAGTCGATTTGAATTGGTTTTGGTAGGAAATGAGACACTTAGTCTCTTTAAGGAAGGATTAGTTTGGAAAAGTCAACCGAATGTTGACTTATGTGTTAGAGGGCTCGGATATGAATTTCGATGATTCGGTTAGCTTAGGGGGATGATTTGTGACTTAGGAGTGTGATCGGAAGTGATTTTGGAGGTCCGGTGTAGAATTAGGCTTGAATTGGCGAAGTTAGTATTTTGGCGATTTCCGGTTGATAGGTGAGATTTTGATCCGAGGGTCGGAATGGGATTCTGAGAGTTGTTGTAGCTTCGTTAAGTGATTTGGGATGTGTGTGTAAAACTTCAGGTCATTCGGAGGTGATTAGGTTGGGTTTTTGATTGAATGCGTGTTTCGAAAGTTTTTGAAGAACTTAGGCTTGAATTCGATGTAATTTGATGGTTTTGGTGTTGTTTGAGGTGTTTTGATGATTGGAACAAGTGTGAATGATGTTATAGGATGTGTTGGTGCTTTTGATTGAGGTCCCGGGGGCCTCGGGGTGATTTCGGATGGTCAAACGGACCAATTTTGGCATTTGGAAGTTGCAGATTTTCCAGTTATTGTGTTACAGAGAATTTGGTCATTGCAATCGCAGGGGTGATGTCGCGATCGCATAGAAGGATTTGGGGTAGGCCGGAGTTTTTCTCTACGCGTTCACAATAGAT